ATAATAATAATAATAATAATAATAATAATAATAATAATAATAATAATAATAATAATAATAAAAATAATAATAATAATGCGGACGGAAATAGCAGTAATAACTGTGATAGTTTGAAAAGTGTTATCTAACTGTGAGTTGTTCACGTACATTATCTGATAGTGTTACCACAAGAAATTATGCTACCAATAATAATAACAAAAATTAATCTCGATTTTATCATAATCATAAAAACATTGAGCTGTCTATTTTTCATTCTTAGTAATTTATTACTAAGGAAATCATAATCTTTTGTTACGCATGTCCAATATAGCTGCTGTTGTACTATCTCTAGTTGATTCTAAGCATAAAACTTCCAGTAACTATATTGGTTTGGAAAAGTTTCCAGCTTTCAGCTGTATCTATCGCGCCGACTGCAAGCACCAGACAGTAAAATTCGATCGTTCTACATTGGTGCATTAGATAGACAGAAGTTCGTTCGTTTGGCTGTTGCTAGGGTCGATGTGACCATCGAGAAGGTCCCAGCGAATGCGCCAAAATTTACCACCTTAAATTATTTCAAACACATGGACCGACTGCCACCCCAAACTACTGTACTTCGAGTAACTGCCCGGTATGTTTCTATCTTCTTCCAGTTTATGTTCAGATTTGCATTGCTTTCAGCATCAATACATTTTGATAGTAAATTGCTACCTGCGCGTACCAGGAGCTTAAACTTGTCGCCAGGTTGTTTCTAAGCATTCCTCGAAAGAGGAAATCATCGACATCCATACCAGCGGGCAGTAGCTATTGGCATTTGCTGTCACTCGGGCTCCTTCCGAATACCTCCACTTGCCAGACCGCGTGGATATTGCAGGGATTTATGTTCTAAGGATAATACAGACATAGTACAAAAACTGAAGGCTTGGCGTTGCTGTGAGCCCAACCTGTGTGTGGGAGCATATTTGTAACGTCACTAACACGGGATACTCCAAACTGGTTACCAGAGCGGCCTTGATTACTCGAATCATTGTACTTTTATGTACTAACGAATTTGACTCCTTGTAACACAGTTTGTCGGGCTAGTGAAATATAAATTTCTAAAATTTATATATCTTGGAACGTTTATAAAATTCTATACTTACTTTCAGCTTGTGAAGTTTTCATTTCTGAACTGAAAAGTTTTGAATTAATATTAATTCCGAATGAACATTTCGTCCCGTTCTTATCTTATTAAACTTTAACTTCCATTAATTGCTATGCGTTTCGCTCTACTTTTCGCTTTTATCTTAATTTTTCAATTTATCTTTAATTTTTTATTAATAATTTATGCAACAGTCGCTGTACTGACGGGATTCAGTTGTGGCGTTGAAGTGTATATGACTTACTGGACTGAAATTTCTTAGCCTCAGCTAAATTACCATTTTTGGGTCTTCATTATTTCCACTGTACCTGGCTATTACATAATATCTACATTTTGGAAAGCATTTATAATTCTGCTTACGCCTAATAGGTTTCTCAGTATCTAATATCAAATGAATCATACTAAGCCGATGATAAGTATTTATAATTGTTTTTTTTTTTTGTAAAGCTTCATATCAGTAGGGGAAAGGGATCAGCAACATTGAATTTTAATGAATTTTTGTTTTTGGCTTCAATCTAAGCTTGTTTAGTTGCAGGAGCAATGAGCTTTGTGACCATTAAAACTACACATAGCTAGGCCGTTGCACAAGGCCCATTCTCCGTCCGTCCAATAAATTTGTTCGAAATTGTGCAAGATTGAACGCGTTGCATGTCTCTTTGTAGTAGCATTCGTAGTAGCAGTAGTAGTCGTAGTAGAAGGGTGGAATCAATGAACGGCATGGATTAGACATTATGCTGGCTAATCAAAGCCTGACGAAGGAGGAGGGATAAGGGACGAGGAAGAGGGATTGCTGAGCTCGACCACGCTGTCAGCATCTACAAATAATGCCATTTAAATGCGATTTTTGCCTCGAGAAGGAACCGGGAGTGAGGGATTTTGTTGAAATGAAGATTTTTTCATAATTTAGAATTGATGAGGTGGTGAGAGTACTCTTGCTTATAGAAGTACTTTGGAAAATAAGGTTAATCACGGACCCGAAATATTTGGAGAAGCAAGGTGACGCTTTAAGGTACTGGATTAATTGACATGTGAGACAATTTAATGAAAAAAAACAAAAGGGGTTGGAAAAACTTCTTCCAACCATATCGAGGAAGTGCGCGAAAATTTTTAACCATAATTTAAAAAATTTAGAAAAATAAAATTTCTTTAATTTTATTAAATCGCAAACAAATTTTATGAGATTCTGCTTGTTGTGCTGATAGCAGTGTGATGTTTTGGAAGCTGTGCGAGAAATAACGCAAACTATCTCTCCCTCAGTAGCTAACATTTTTCCTTGCAATTTCCGCATCTTAGGACAAACTAGGCGCACAGAAAAAAAAACAAAAAAAGACAGGAAATATTTGGAAGACAGCAAAAATTGCTTGGAAATTTTATTACTGAAATGCATAATTGCCACGCAACAGACTTTGTTGTCATAAATTAGCTGTCTTGAGATTTCATCCAGAAACGACGATTTTACAAAAACTTGCCCCGAGTCTCATACGAAATAAAAGAATTCGTTTTTCGGCTTTCCAATTTCGTCTAAAAAATTTTTTTGAAATTCCTTATTTTCATCTTAAACTAATTTTCAATTTCAAGTTTTAAAAGTTCAGCCGAGAAATTTTCAGCCCAAATCTTGAGAAAAACTCATATTGTCATCACGAGCGAATTAGTTTTTTTTTGATACAGATAAATTATCTAAAATTTATATCAAGTTAATTTTTGCCCTCGAGAAAAATTTTTTTTAGTTTTTTGAAAATTTTTGAATTTTTTTGGAGAATATTTTTTTAACTAACGAAAGCTATTTTCTTGGACAGTGCTGTATCATTTATGGCCTTTTCTTGAGCATTCCTGCTTCCTTAGGAGCTTTTTTTTGGCTGGAAATTCGTCCCTTTTATTTCATATGGGCCAAGTCATCAAATTAGCCCAGACCACTGAAGCTTTCGTTCTGAGGTATGGTGACATTACCAGATAAGCCATATATCCGGCCATCTGCAGCTAAAAAAAACGAAAAGAAAAATTGGAAAAAAAATTAAATTTCATTTTTTGTCTGTTCTACTGAAATTGTACACTATTTTTTAACGGATGATGGAGGGCCACTTTCAATATTCCTCCGCATAATTTAGCATAACTCGATTTCTTTTTCAAATTATGGCAATATCTAGACCTCTCTCATGTGGGAAAACTCATTTCCCTCAAAACTGCTCCTCTGAACAAGCTTACTTTCTAGGGCTTACTTAGGATCAGAGATATACAGCTCGAAACGTCCTGGCATAGCTGATTTTGTTTGTAAGTGCATCCCAGAGAAGCAAAGTAACATTGAAGTTCGCTGCTGGATTTAAAGACTCATAGATGTTTTTTGGTATAAAGCAAGTTTTTGTTAAATTTTTTGGAACTAAAATGTTACCGATGAACCTCTAAAAATTTGGCGGACATGAAAAATAACACAAAATTCCTAGAAAACTTGAAAGTTACAAAATTTTGTAAAAAAATCGAAGTGTTTAATTATAAATTAAATTTTCACAAGCAGTTAAAATTTCTGTAAATTTTCTGAAAAACTTTTAAGAATTACTAAATTTTTGCAGAGTCTTTCATAAACATTCAAATTATCCGTATGCTTCTTGGAGGGGAAAAAAACAATAGTATGAAGAGAAAAAAATAATAATTCATGTGAACTGCTGCCCTACTGCCCGAGTAAACGTCTTTTTTTGCTTTTTCCTGAATTGCGCAACTCCATCAGAACAAGCCTCTGCTAGCTTAAATTAGCAATTAACTGACGTAGCATGAGTTCAGGTTCTATGAAAAAAGACTCTCCCCGATCATTTTCTCTGCGGGACCAAAAAATCTGCATAGAACGTAAACTGAACTTTCTGGTGTGACCGTAATGAGTGGTGTCCGCGGAAGGTCATTCGGGGAATGATAAATGAGCAGCCGTTATTGCCAGAAAAATAAATCAACCCATTAATTTGTTCGCTAAATGAGCTGTGCAGTAGCAGCAGCAGATGACCACTGTCGAAAGAGTGGGGGCCTAAAAGAGGAACCGGGGTCAGTTGCTGCAACGCATAATAAACAGTGGGCATTTGAATGAAAGAAAAACTTTTTGAAGACGTAATTCCAACTTTTGGTTGTTCTACATTACCTGGTCCTATGTTCATCCCAGACATTTTCCCTTCCGCTCACTTCCCCCTCTTTTCCGGCTTTCCAGAGAAGAAAGAAGCCAAATTTTCTAAGGCTAAATTGAAGATGCTAATGTCAATGAATTTGTTATTAATGTATTAAACTAAAAGGAAAAATATATTTTGCGTTGTTTACCCAGTGTTTTCCTGTTTTTCAAAAGAAAGGATTTGATATGACATTTTTTATTTTGTTTTTTTAATGTGTTTTTTTTTTGAATAAACTGGGGTTTTGCTTCGATTTACATTGCTTTCCCTAAACATCATAATTTGATAATGGTTGTAGCGCAGTGCTAATCTATTAGTAATCAGAATTTAAAAATTTTTTACTTTTTATTTCTATTTGTCAGGAGAGGGGCCAACGAGGGACTTCGTTGCTAGCAATAATAGCTCTTTTTTTTTAAATTGCTTATAATCACTCTGTGAGAAATTCATTTGAATTTGAAAAAAGAAAGCTGTTAGCTGATATATTCTTGATTGATAAAAATATTAAAAATTTTTATTCCTAATTAAAAATCATTAATAAAAAAATGCAAAAAACCGCAAAGAAGCTTTGCAAAAAAAACTTTTTTTCAGAA